CCGAGCCTGCTTGCGGGTTGTGGGTGCGGGGTCTCTGCCCAGCCTCGTTCGGAGGCTGCAGGCTCTTGGGCTCCTACCCCTAGTCTCCGTCGTACAGGGTGACCGCCCCTCTGGGGGCAGCACCCTCCTCTCCCAGCTCTCGCCCGGCGGAGCGAGTGGGGGGGGCTTTCGAACAGGTCGCGAAGGGCCCCGCGGCGTTCTTTAGCAGTGAAAGCAATGCCTTGTCCGCGGGGCCATTCTGGCGACCTTTACCGAGCACCTACTGGGTGCCAAGCGCTGCCCAGGAGCATCGAACAAGCTGGACTTGGAAAAACTCGTGGAGATGGTTTCAAAATTTACCTTCAAAGCAAATGAACTTTCCACCACTCTCCAAAGGGCAATGATTCTTAAGTGTGCTTGTCATGGGACAGCCGCAGGACCCCCGCGACAACACGGTGGCTGACAGGCTGCTTGCATTTAGCCCGCAGGGCACTGCCACCGTGCAGGGCTGCCCTGGCCAGCGAGGCTTGCTATTGGCCAATGCCAGGCCTGGGCCTCCCAGTGACAAGCCCGGCGGGGCGGTAGCCAAGGCGGGAGGGGCATCATAGCTGCTTGGGTCTGCCCTGGGGTCTCCACCTGACGCCCTCGGCCTTGGAGCCTGGCGCGGACCGCCCGCGAGGCGCTGTTGGAAATAAATGGCCCCTCTCAGCTCCAGGCAGGACGCTAAAAGGGAAGAAAGTTCAGCAAACCCCAAGGCCCATCTCCTTGACAACCACCAATAAGAGCTCCTTTTTTCTTCTCCTGCTCTCCCGGCTCGACTCAAAGACAAGACTTCTCTTTTTGTCCACTCGGCCTGCACCAGTTTCACCCCATGTTGCCCCCCACACCAGCTCTCCTCCCTGCCCCTGCGCACACCCTCCCGCACACACTCACACACAACTTCTAGGCATCTCCTCAGCCTGGAAATCTAAATCTGTGTCCTGCCAGCTCTTGCTCCCACCTGGCTTAGCACCAGCTTCCGGCACTGGCCCTGTGCCTGAGGCTGTCGTATCCCAGGTGAGGGGACCAGAAAGGACCAGAGAGGCAGGAAGCGCTGCTTCTTGTCTCCACTAAGCCCCAGTTCCACCCCATCACTTCACACTTTCCTTTGGCGTAGTCACTCCTGACTGGTGCTTTAATTGTGGGGACCCTGCTCCAGGGTTTTATTTTGTATGGCTTTGGCTTTCTCCCCCACAACCACCTATTATTTTGTGCATGGGACAATGGATGTGTTTTGAGGGGCCTTTCAGGGACCCCTGACTTACTAGAAATAATGCTCTTTTGTGTGCCTATTCATCAGGGGTTCTCACCCTGGGCCAGGTCCCCAAGCTTGATAGCAGCCAGGAAACCTCCCAGGCTCCGTCTCCCCAAATCAAGGCAGAGATGGTGACAGGTGGTGGCCTTTTTGACTGTGACCCCACAGCCCGGGGTGCCTCTCACCCATACGAAGTTCTCATTCCCAGCCTGCCCCCAAGTAATTGCTCAGGTCAGGTGGGCTAGTGAGCTAGCCTCCTCTGAGGTGTGTGGATGGAGAAGAAGTGGTTCCTTCTAGAAGGACATGTGGTCCAGGTGGCAGAGTTAGGAGCCTGGGGCTGAGGGGTGTGAAGACACACCTCTAAGTCCCTCAGGCATGCTCTCTAGGAAGTGGCTTACGGGACACAGAGAGAGGAGGTCACTTCCACCCCAGGGGCAGTCACAGAGGCCTCCTGGGTCTGGTGACCTGAGCTGGGCACTAAGCCGTGTGTGTGGGGGGTGGTTCCTGATGGACGAGGAAGGGTAGAGGGAGAGAAGATGAAGACCAAGCAAGAAAGTGAGTAAGCGAATGTTCTGGAGGCACCAAAGCTGTAGTGCACTGTGCAGCAGGTGACAGTGCCCTGATGGAGGTGGGGTGAGAACGGGAATGCCAGGACCCCAGCTGGGGAGCTCATGCCCCTGGAGCAGAGAGCCTGAGAGGCTGAGCGAGGAGAGTGGAGGCCAGAGGACGAGCCTCACCGACTTCAGGGGAACACCCATGGCGGCCATCACCTTCCCAGAGAACGGGGCTCTCTGCGACCAAGAGCTCTTTGCAAACCAGGCTCCTGCCCCTCCTCCACAGTCTTGGCCTTGGTAAATCTCGGACAAAGAGAGCCCGCAGAGGTCCTGCCCTTCAC